TATATATATATATATATATATATATATATATATATATATATATATATTATTCAAAGTAAACCAAACTCAAATGGTGCATTTTAGGCCCTGGCCTGTATCTTCTTCAAATCCACCTCGACAACATCTTTGAAAACACACAATATTTGCAAAATGGAACCTCAGCTTGTGAATAACCTTGTCCATATCGTTCTAATGCACTTTTTTGACTCCTCCACCATGCTATTTCGTGCCAGCCACATCGGATTTAGCTCTGGGATAATGCTTTAGTCAGTATGTTTTATCTGTTCTCTCACTCAGGTACGCTATGCTGTTATCCCTAATTACCCCCACTGCATTTTACACTTGGCCCAGAATTCTTAATGCTTGATAACAGATGCAGGTCGATTTGAAATTTACTTATAGCGGCATTATCTTTTTGACCCGCATTGCAGACTGACTGTCCCAAAGGCTCTTGGGTGAAAGCTGTTAACTCTGTGATAACAGCGACCTGAAGTGATAACCTTCCAGCAGTCTCGAGGACACACAGTTTGCTACATATGTGCTGTATTGCAGTCGCAGCATTTCTTATTCAACCTTGGGTGCTCTGCTGTGCTCTGATTCACTTAATGGGATCGAGAGGGAGGTTAATCACTATGTCCACCATAGACTGTTTAAAATGCTGGCTGACCATTATATGAAATATTACGATTTGTATTCCTTTGAAAGATGAATTTGAATGCTAATTCTGTTGAAGTGAACTCAACTTTTTTCCTCCTTTTTTTTAAGCTGTAACTGAATTGTCTCCCCAGTTAGGATTCACTTTGATTAATTTACTTTCGGAGGCCGACATCTGCGTTTGCAGATTTTCATTAAGATCAACATAAAAGCTTCAGACAAGGTTCCACTTATCTTAAGTTATTATCCCCAGAAGACATGGTTGATTAAGTGGAAAAAGCGCTTAAGTATTTGAATAATTCCCAGAAAGGTTTGTTTGTCTTGTTAAGGACAACTCTTTAAAAGGTATAGAATACGTTTTTATGTGTAAAAATCTTTAATCCATAAAATTCAATACATACTCTGCCAGCTGTTGTTTTTTTTTCATTCTGCTCGGAGTTGAATATTGACCCGATTGCCATAGATGTCTGCAGCATCCAGTTAAGCTTCAGCAATCAGTCAGCGGTACCTTTTTTTGCAACTGAAATTATATTTAAATGGTGTGGAAATACAGAGGCAATGCATGAAAAATGTCAACAGCAGGACGTCTGCAGCCATTTCATTAATGTCAGTCAACTTCAAGTGCATATTGTTACGTTTAAACATAGCTCTTTTTAGACCACATTGTTTTGCATACAGATTTTCTTGAGAAAAGCTTGAATATAGCCTCGTGGAAGAGGTACGCTGTGCTATACAATACAATAGATATGGTGGGTGGGTAGGCCTATCAGCTGAAGTGAAGTATAGCTTGTTGCCTTGGTTTCATATTTTACACGAACAGTGTAGTGTGAAGCTCTGTCAAGCCTAGTTTTAATCCCTTTCTCCACTGTGTTGTGTGATGTTGTGTTGTTATCTTAATGATAATCGGTGCCTGTATTTCTGCCCTCGGCGTTTCTGTCAGGCTGGGTTGGTTTAGGAGATGTGCCTTATCAACAGCTTTGTCATTAAATCAGCTTTTTCTACAGATAAATTTCACTGCCGTTATTCTTATCAACAGATCAGCACACTGTGATTTTCTGTTCAATCAGAGCTTTGCAAATTCAATGACGGGTGAGTAAGAAAGATGAAACAAAATTTCCATTGGAAATAAACCCCAATTTATTTAATTTAGTGTTCATGAATGTTAATAATCAGACAAATAAAATGGGTATGTTTTGCATTTGTCATACATCAATGGCTTTCAACTGTTTTTATTTTATACTCTTGGGTCTACCTTGTGCATTTTTAGAGGCTACACTTAAAGAGTACGGAGGAATAGAAATGATTGCAACATGATGCTAATAAATGATTCTATCCACAGGCTGTAGATAGTTTACTGCAAGCAGGAATCTAGAACCTGTGCAATTCATGGCTTTTCTTTTGTCAGTGTGAAATGGGATGTGAATCGCTTAAAGATTTTATAGCACACATCACAATTATGTGAACGTACCCAGAAACACATCCCTTAAATGCTGTATGTACAGAGGCAAGCTTTCAGGTCCCAGTCAAACTGACCTCTGGAGGCTGGAATTGGTACTCAGTTCCTCTGAGAAAGCACTGTTCTGTCTGAGTGAGTGTTCTGATTGTCTCAGCATTGTGCTTGAGTGGAGGGCAGCGCCAAATGAACTCTCCTGATTCAATCCTCTCCACTGTTCGACACCGGTTCAGCCAGTCAGTGAGGAGGGTGGACTGACACTCCTTCCCCCAAACACACTCTCTTACAGTGAGGGAAACTGCTGTATGGCAAAGGTCCAAGAGGTCTCTTGCATGCCGTTTGCGTGGCAGATTCGATCCCCTCTCTCTCGTCCCACAGTGCACTGAGAGTCTCTGGAGGCTGATAGCCCGGTTCCTGGGGATCCAGTGGGTCTTTGGAGAGAAGAACGCTGATAGAGGGCACAGTCCTGTGCACCGTCATCTCAGATGTCCCCCCTTCACTACTCTCCCACACCTCTTTCACCACCTTGTACTGCAGTTTGGTCAGCTGGTGCAGAGAGCCCACTTTCCGTTTCATGATCTCAGCACAAGTGATGGTCTTCGTGACCGCGCGGCCCGACCCCGTGAAGACCACCTGCCTAAGCCCACCACCACTCACTCCTCCCCCACTAACGCCCTTCTCTCCCTGCATCCGTGTCATGGCAAATCCCATTAAGTTGCGGATCTTACTTCCCTCCTTCACGCGCATCTCCAGCACCCCAGAGGCCAGTCCTGGAAAGGGACAGGGGCTGTCCTCCTCAGTTCGGCAGACTTTCTTAAACCCTTCCTGCCCTAGTTTAAGTGCAGGGGGAGGGACTGGCAGTGGTGTTGGCTTCAGCGGGCTGGAAACATTGTAGACCACTGCTTGCTGGCCAGCATTGCTGTAAGGTTGATCATGGTAGACGGGGCAGGTCCCTGGGGTTACCCCATTTTCCATTTGGATCGGTCTGTTCACCTCTAGTCTGGGATGGGGCCTGACAGCGTCTCTGGTCAGGTACTGGTTCTGGCCACTCAGCACTCCACACCCTGGGAACATTTCTTCTGTCTTCAATGCTCCACCGCAATGTTAGTCCAGACGCACACTTTTCCCACATGGAACACAGCTCAACATCGTTTTCTTATGCATGTGGCACTTTTCTCTCCCTACAGCTGTAAAGTTTCGAGACTTCACATGAGAAATATTACCCGTTCCCCAAGAGCACTATCAATGAAGTCTTTAATGCTCCCTCTCAGAAAGAGTTGGAGAAATAAGATAAGCGCCTGGCTGGTGAATTAAGAGCACTGTCGGGACTATTCAAGATGTTCTTTAAAGAGCATCTCAATTTCATACCACAAATGACTATTTTGAAAGTGGTCTGGTGATGGATAAAAATAATGAAAACATTAAGATAAATTTTCCTTTTTCTGCCGTTTGTATCTATTTCATATAGTACTTTTATCCTTAATAGCTGTCAAAAATATAGAGTTCTTTGTTGATTCTCCTTCAACAAAACTTTTTGAAAGAAAATCTAAAAGCTCAAATTAAGACTCCACCTTTTCCTTCGCGATCCAGTCCAGCGCTGTTGATTTTGATCTGCTGAAAATGTCTCCTTCAACTCAAAATTGACCTCTTGGCTTGTCCAGCTGATAACTTCCACCTCCTGTTTTGGACCTCTTGGTGTGTTACTCCAGCTTGAGTAGGTCTGTGTCTCCTCTCCCTGTGCTCATCTTAGCATCCACAGTAGTTGAGGCCAGGGTTGCATGGAGGTCTGCACCTGGGGTGTCCTCCCTAGGGCTTTGTCTTGTCTCCAGTGGTGCTCTGGGAAATCTGTTCTGTTCCCCCACAAAGAGACATAAGGGACAGGCGCTGCCTCACAAATGCTCACAGGAGGAGTGTCTGTGTGGTTGAGGGGGAGCATGAGGGAAAGGGGAGACAGCCCTCTTAAAGGCGCAGGTCTTTTCATCTTTTAGATGAACACCCTCCCCTCCACAACTGAAGCCTGCCATCTGAGGAAAAGGAGAAGGGCTGGGCTACTTTGTCCCTTTAAAACCTAGAACGCAGATCCCCGGCAACTTTGTCAATCTCTTTAGAGGACGTTCCAGTGTGCAATGTACATGACTGATTAAACTTGAGTTCTGAAATAGAGACTCAGTCAACCTTTAAAAATGCATTTTCAGCTACGAAACAATGAATTAAATTAGCTCAGTTATAATTGAAAACATCCTTCAAAGAGCCACTGAAAGTCAGCAGCATTAAATTGCACTGTACTTTGCCTTCATCCTATTAGATGTTTGTGACCATTACCATTTACATAATGCAGCATTAATAGCTTCATTGTTGAGGGAATCAAGTGGCACGGTAAGAATGCCTGTCTTTTAACGCTTGAACTGCTATATTGTTACAAAGCCAGAGAGCCCTTGTCATCAAGGACACAAGGATCACAAAAAGCGTAGAGGCATGACTTCCATGTTCAAGGTGCTGTATGAATAGTGACTGTCTTCATTAGCCTGGTGTATCTGTGCAGGTGAGGAGATGGGGCTGACAGGTGGGGTAATAAGCATCTTAATGGGCTTTCCATTACCAGTGGAGGGCGCTGGCTCGCTCCCTTCTGCACCAAGTCAGGCCCAGACAGCTGTAGCATCGCCCTGCTAAGCCCAGTCTCCTGGTCGACAGGTGGATTTGTTTTTGTGTGTGACTGACAGATGGAAGAATAGGTAAAGACAGCCCACTGAGGCTGAACCTATGAGGCTGAAAGAGAGGCAGACAGACCTTACTACGCTCTGCTCAGTATATCCCATGGTGCACAGTAGTACACAGACAGTATAAACTCACTGTGGCTCAGCCCAGTCCTTACTGTGAGGCTAATTCACAGTGGCATGTGTATTATATTGGATCCCTATGGTAATCAAGGAAAAAATAAGGAAAAGCCTCCACACCCGGAGCTCCAACTAGCAAAGTGGGAACTGGACGTGGATGTCTTTTTATTAACAGAATTTGAATCGGAATCATCATTGAAGAATCGATTGATGATTAACTTGCTTTTTTTTTCAAAATCCGTATGCATGGGGTCGGAGAGCTATTTATCTCTGGAGCCATTCCAGATTCCGCAGGACACTAGTGACAGATATCTGTCTATTTTTTGTAAGATAAAAAGAAAACAGGAGAGAGGAATGATGGGGAGGAGGAGGGGAGGGTCTGTAGCGCTCACCACGTGATCACCACCAAGTGATCATTCTGTTGTTTGGGAGAAATTACCCTCATCAGTCATACAGAGATGCACAGCTGCCTAAGGGGATCTGGTAATGTTACTGCATAATAAACTGTGTTTGTGTGTGTGTGCACACGCCTGTGTGTGTTCAAAGTCAGAGTGAGAAGAGAAGAAAAGAAATGCAAGAGGGCAGGGGGGGGGGTTAAAGAAGTCTGATTTAACCACAGAGAGGTTAACATTGATGATGAAAACAGCTCTGCAATCATCCTTCCTTACTACGTGATGTTGGCACATCATTTATTGCTTCTCTTTTTAACTCTAGGGACCTGTTTGCAGGCGGGATTGTGATAGCTAAAAAAAAAGAAATCAGCTTCTGAGTAAAGATACAGGGCTTTTTGTGTCTCCGTCAAAGACGAAACCATTCCCCAGTTGGCTAAATAAAACCATCAGTGCTTTGCAGGAGTGCCGTGTTTTGACCTTTTTGAGCGGCGCTTTTTTCCTTAAGTGGCTTCATTTAATGATGGGTGGAGGCAGCGGCGCTCACGCTTGGTCACTCACTCCTTCACACCTCCTCCACAGAGCTGGCCTCCGCTCCTGTAGCTCTCCAAGCACTTACTTCTCACTTTATCTGACCTTGGCTGGCATCTGTAACAGTCTTGGCATTCTTTCCCTCACGCTCACTTCCCTGTCTTACTTCAACAACCACCTTCGGCTTTCACTTCTGCACACCACAATTTAAGTATAGAAAAAAAAACATTTATTCCCAAAGACTGTGACAAATAGTAGAGGTTGTGTCTTACTCCTTTCTCTCTTTGCTGTGTACTTCAGATGTCTGAAGTGGTTGTTGTTATGGATTGTAGGGTTGTCCCTTTGTTGTTTGTTGCAGCATTGCAGAGTCGAGTTGTAGAGGGGCTCGTTGTGCTGTTGTCAGGGCTGCACATAAGCGCAGTGCCTCACTGTGACAGCCGGTCGCTCACTTTACGTTAACCGCAAGTGTTTTCACGGTCATCAACCAATGGTGGCCTGGAGGCTGTCATTTCGCTCCGTGTGGAGCTCGCCCGTGGCTTGGTTCTGCCCCACAAACTCACAGCTGGCCCTGGTGGGGGGAGAGAGCAACACACACGCATGCATATGCACACACTTACAGACACGCACACGCCTACTGGATGGGCGCACACACACACACACACACACACACATACACAGAAAAACTATATGCTCAGCATAAGGCAGTCTGTTGGAGCAATTACAGAAACATGGCAGAACACGATGAAGCAGGCCCCACTATCAGAAGGGAAATAGAGTGAGCAGAGGAAAAATGATGACGCCATTAATAACAGGGAGGCTCAGAGGCTCGGAGGGAGGTGGGGGTGGATGACCCTCTATGTGATTTCACTGTGACAGCACTTTGATGTGCAAATGGTTGTGTTTATATTACATTTTGGGACATTGAAATGGGCATGTGTTTTTTCTGTCAAAGGCAAAAAAATACATGTAAAGCGACTACAGTGCACTGTACCAAATGATGCTTGAAGTGATGTTGTGCTGTCACTCATGAATCCATTATTTTTGGTAAGTGACGGGTCAGACTTCCTCGTTGTCATTCTTTGATTTTGCATCTCTGTCTCAAGCCGGTTATACACATCTCTTCTCCTCCAGCTGATGCTTTCCCCTCAGCACTGCAATGCAGATGTGTCTCACACAGTGGCCGGAAACTTTCACTGAAGATGCTTGTGAAAGAGGAACATGAGAGAGAGAGAGAGAGTGAGCGAGAGGAGGGAAGGGCATGAAAGAGAAGAGGGAATAAATGCCATACTACCAGAAGTGATGATGAGAAGAAGTAAAAAAAAGTTTCTCGTATTTAGCATATGGTAGACAAAAAATCAGACATGGCAACTCTTGATTTATGAGGCTTGTCAATGAAAGTGATGTCTTTAGCTTCATCCCCGAAACAGCTTTACAAAGCTAACCCACCGCCTCACAAATGTTCTGATGTGTTTGAAGTCCCACTGGGATTTAAAAGGGTGGCATTTATTTCGTTCAACATTAAATTGAATTGGGTGGAGCTGAACCCTGTTGATCCGTGCTTTTAGGTGTATTATTGCACACAGCTTGATTAACTGTGCTCTCTCAAATTTAAATTGGCAGCAGCAGTTGATAATCACATTTTGTGTTTGGTGCTACTGTTTTGTTTGGCCTCCGGCTAAAAGTTAATGGACTTTCCAGAACATTTTTGATCAATTACATCAAGACTTAATTTGCCATGTGGAAACAAATGCAAAAATAGTAAATTAATGCCTCTGAGCAAGTATTCACTAATTCTGTGGCTTTCAATTTTGGAACGTAATGCTACTTACTGTATATTCCTACACAAACAAATAGAAGTGTGTCAGAACAAGAAGAATGGCATATCTGAATACATATCTGAATACATATCCCCTTCTAACTTTTTATTTTTATTTTTGTGTTTGACCTTCCAGGCAGTGATTTGCTTTCTTCCTTGTCTGCCTTCTCTCTCTTGGAACTTTCCTTTAACACCTAGTCAGTATTTTTTCTTTGAGAAATTCTGAATTTAAGGTTTTGTGCCATTGTAAACCTCAGCTGCATTTGCAGATGGTATTTTCTTCAGCAATAGCCACTAAATGTGCATATAATCATCTTTTGCTGTAGTCGTTTTCATCTTTCTGGCAGAGTCAGCTTTTCCTTGCGTTATTCAAATTGCCTACACACCCTCAAGGGATTCAAAGCAAACAATGCATGCATGTACTCTAATGTTACGGCCCATCATTTTATCTCATTGATAGAAGCCTCCCTGTTTATGGCTTACTCTGCTACAGCCTTATCAGAGTTGTATTTCTTAATGCGAACTGAACATTTTCCAATGCTGCAGCATTTAAATGAGTCCTTGAGGTTAGTGATTCTTTGCTGTTGTTCACTCAAAGTGGATCTACAACACAATGGATGGGCATTTTTAAATATTGCAAAGAAGGAATGGTACAAGAGGAAACGGCCACAGTAAATTGCAGCTGACAGACTTTTACTGCAGTTTGTGCAAACCAGCACACCTCCAACATGTCATCAAGTTAAACACTGCCTTCTGGAAATACTCAAGTACAATAGGCAATAAGTACCTCAAATTGTATTTCGGTACAGTACTTGAGTAGCCTAAATATACTTGGTTACATTCCACCGAGAATAAAATCACTTGATTGATGCATTTAACTTTAAAATGTACAAAAAAAAAGCCCTTGAGGGTCCAAGGTCCACCCACCATAGTCTCTCAAAATCATGTGGGAAACACTGCACATTTTATCTGAAGTGTGCCATGCAGTGTGGGACTTCTACCAGTCTGATCTTGGTCTCAACCCCTCAAAGTCTTGGTCTAACGTCTTTGAACAGCAGGAGCCGAGCCAACACCAATTTCCCTCTGATCAGGTGCTTTTGTTGGAAAGCTCCAAAAAATATGAAGCGAGTGGAAAATCACGGCTAAAGCATAGGGTGTGTTTTTGTGTGTGTGTGTGTGTGTGTGTGTGTGTATGTGTGTGTGTGTATATATATATATATATTAAAGTGGTATGATGTCGAAGCTGAAATGGAAGACGAGTCATTGAATTGTCAAACTAGGCGACAGAAAATCAGTTTGGGATACAATAATAGCCCCCTTAAATATATTCCTATAT